CTTAATATTTTCTGGCTAACTGGGTTAGTCTTTTTTAAAAATCGAGCCGTATAACAACACTTTTAATAATCAATTATTTGATTCCTTCAAAAGATTCGAATACGAATATAACAAGTTAGTTTTGAGATGTGTTTTTCGAAGCCAAATTTATATCAACACAATCGCACAAAAATGAATGTTAATATTTTGTAACAAAGTAGAAATAAAATGAGATATTTTTAGGAAAATGGAACAGAACACAAATGGAAAATATTCTTTGAAGAGCGGAGCAGGAACGCAAAAATGCCTTTGTTCCAGGTTCCTGATACTAACTAAAATATTATTTCTATTAATATAATATTTATTTATATAAATATTTAATATGCTAGAATGATTAAAATTATCTTTGCATATAGTTTTTAAAATATAAAGAAATTCAATTCCAAAATAATTTGCATAATATTTTGTAGTTATTATTTATAAAATTTATATTTGATTTTTTTTAAACTTAAAACAAACAGATCAATTATTTTTTAGGAGCTTTTCACGACTGCGTATTGATGAATGGAATGTCATTTCTTAAAATTTTAATAAACGAGTCGATTACACCTTACAATGTATCGTTATCTAATGCCATGTGGAATTCATCCTTCTATGGTTTAAAAATATTTGAATTAAATATAATTTAATATACTTTAAAAATGACTTATAGTGCTTTCCAAAATTAAATCTTAAAAATAAAATTTTATAAAGATCTATTTATTTTTAAAAACATATACATGCTTGAATAAATGAGAAGTTTTACTTCAATAGAAGAAAATTATATTCATTTTCTTATCAATAGGTGGAAAAATAAAATTTATAAAACAATTGTTTAAAAAGGAAATATTTATTGTCCAAATTTTTAAAATTTGCTTCAATTTAAAGAATACCGCTTGAAAAAATGCATTATTTGTTTAACATTAAATAATTATGTCAATATATCAATTATATTTTTAAAAAAAATTAAGCCCGACCCAGCCTGAACCAAAAAAATTTTTTAAAATAGACACGGCGCCACCCCGAAACCGATCTGGCCCGGGTCGGACTAGGGCTCGGTACGAGCCGGGCCGTGATTTGCAGATATCTGATATCAAAAATATTATTAAAATTAATATCACGCTTCCATACTCTAAAGCATATTTGTTAAAGTATACAGATGCATACATTTTGTATCCGTATCTTATCTAGATACAATTTTACATAAAGTATCTAGATCTAGATTAGAGTTGCCAGGTATGAAAAAATAATTGAATTGTGGGAGAATTCTATTATTATATGGTAGTTTAGCCTCCATTTTACTTTGGTAAACCCTCGGCAGCTTTTGTCCAAACTTTGGCCATTTCCGTGGTATCTTTGATTTTTATTTATATATTTATTTTAAAACATGCTGAATTATTTTTTTTTAAATTCATAAATGGTAGATTGTGTTGAAAGGGATTGGTATTTTTGAATTTGACGGCAACTAATCCATTAATAACATTTTAAAAGCAAATTGAATTTACTGATCTAATAAATAATAAATTTCCCTGTTGCTATTGGGAAACATAATAGGAAAATACAACCAAAATTGGACATTTTTTTGTTTATAAATTTTTTATTGTATATTTAAATTTAAAAAATTTATTTTTGAATAAAAATATGAGAGATTTTATGCTAGATTTTTGGTGGATTTGTAGAAATTTAAAATTGTAATAGATTTTGTGGAAGTTTGATAAGTGCTATACAACTGGGTAATGGATAACCCCAAAAACTCAGAAAAAAATCTAAAGATTTAATACTCGATTTTTTTAAATACCCCTTAGATTTAAAAAAAATAAATGTCAGGACAGGAGTTTAAAAGTGTTATTCATAATCATAAAGTATAGCACAACACAACCATGTAATGCACCTCTGAAAAGACATTTAATTTAGCCAAAAATGTGTCTAAGGATAAACGGGAATGCCTCATTGATGAAAACTTTGTAAATGTTTTATTATTAAAAGCTAACAGTAATATTCTATAATCATTTAATTATATATTTTATATATAAATAAATATCGAACTAAGTTATAAATGTTTAGTTTGATTTCAAAATTTGAGTTCAATAGACTTCTTATTTTGAAGTTATATATACCCTACATGATTTATATCGAAATACATTTTTAAAGAGGTATCGGTATATGATGCTTATTAAACCAGGTATCTGTATATAATATATTTGAAAAGTATTTTTCACAATTCTACTCCATTATATTTTTTAACACAAAAATCGAAGTTCTTATTCTCAATATAAATTAAGGTGTGACTGGTAGGGTATTAGTCGATCAAGATGGAGATAGAAGAGCTAATTTTTCGGTTTATGGTATGATAAATAAGACGACTGGGGAATTCGGGGAGATTGGAATATATATAGCAGAAAAGAATTCCCTTTATTTATTTGTTAAAGAATTAAATGAATACAATCAGACCATGGTCTCATTCGAAAAAAAAATCATCAATAAATTCTTGCTAAATCTCACGAATAACTATGAAGAAATTTTTTTCCCGACAAATTCTTTGATAGATTGGAGATACGGACACGCCCCTAAAAACATTCCTTATTGTACTTTCAAACCATTTGATCCAAGCTGCCCCCAAATGACTAGCAACAAATTGGTTAATGCAATGATCATACTAGGGTGCATAATCGTGGCAGTTATTTTCGCTAGCGTTTTTGGATTTTTATATTACAAGTATATAAAAATTTGTATCCCGATAATTTAAATTTAATTTGGGGGTGATTTAGTATCTAAGTTTTTTTTTTTAAATCAGGGGCCTCAGTAACCTTTACAATCTCAGGGGGCTCAAAAAAAATTTTTTTAAATTATTTTAAAATGACCTTTTTGAGATAAAAAAAACTTTCAAAATTTACAAGGGGCTTTTCTAACTTTTAATGGGGGGCCCCCCAGTGACGCTACTGTTTAAAATATAAGAGATGGAGTAATTTCTTAAATGATTACGTTTTTAAATATATAAATCGAAATTATAAAACACACATTAAATCAATCTCTATAAGTTTATAATTATTCTGCATATTTATTTAATCAAATAAAATTAATAAAAAACACTTTAAAGAACCGTGATCACAATTTTTTTTAAAATAGGGGGTGGGGGGGGGGGGGTGATAATAAAATGTTGCTTTTCTATAGATATGTAGGAAGGGACAGACTTGGAGAGGAAAGGACAAAAATACTAATTAATATATATTCTAGTCTTAGTTTATTCGTTTAAAAAAAATTAATTTAATAAAACAATTAAATTAGGCAATAACAATTACTTGCACTGTAAGATGGAACAATGGATAACAATACAATTACTTTAGCTATCGTAATGGCTTGCTTTATATTGAAGGCTTCATTATTACCGCTATTTATTTGTCTTAATTTTCTCCCTAATAATGTGATAAATTTAAGAAATTCCTCACCAAAATTACCAAGAGTATTGGCGAAAATGGGATAAAAATAATACTAACGATATCTGATATTTATCTATTTTCAAGATTTCTACGGAATGCTAAAAAAATTTTTAAATTAAAAAAAGTTCCTCTATCGGAACTCTAAATATAAATATGTTAAATTGAGCATATTAAATAATCATAATTATAAACAAATAAATTGTAAATAACTGATTTACGTAATTCGTTTATTTCTTTAGATTAAAAAATATTTTTATGCATTATTTATAATTGCTTATAATCATGTTTAAAAATTTCCAAAATTTGTTTTAGGGACCAGAAATTAATAAGAGGACTGACCCCAACCCCCTGCCTCCTCCCTTCTACATGTAATTAGAGCCTCGTTTTAAACTTAATAAAATTTATTTAAAAAATTGCAGAAAATATTTGAACGATATTTACTTTTCGTCTGAAAAATGGAAGATTTCATGGCACACCATCAAACTGATTCATCTCAAGCCGTCACTTACAGAAGGACATTTCTCACCCGTATAATTAATTTTTGTTACTGCATTGCAGGAACGTAACCCTTTATTAGATAAAAATTATATGATTATTTTTAGAGATATTTTTAATTACGAAACAAAACTTTTTAAGTTACTTATATACTTAAAAAAATATTTTTTATGCAATTTATGATATAGGAGAGGACAACAAATATTATATTTAACGAAATTAAAAATTTAATTAGAAAGTTGTATCGATGAGGTTGTGAGAATCTTATTTACAATTATTTAATATTTTTTATAATTTTAAAATGAATTTAGACCATGTCGAATAATGATTCCTTAGTTACCAACTATGGAATCTACCAAAACAAAACCATATTCATTAAAAGATTTACACCTATTATCGATAAATTTGAAATGGATGGAGATCTTTTAAAAGAAATCAACAATATTAAGGATATCAGCCACGATAACTTGGGAAAGTTTATTGGGATAGCTATAGACAAACATGCAAAGCTATATGGTGTGATAGTTGCATTTTTAGGAAGGAGAAATTTGACCGAAATATTAGCTAAAGAAAACATTCAACTCACCTGGAATTTAAAATATTCCATTATAAACGATATAATTAAGGCATGTTATATATTAATTTATTTATGTATTAGCACAGAATATAATAATCTTTTTCAAAGGAATTATTTCAATATATCATTTAGGGAATGACATATTTACACACGACCAAAGTTTATTGTCATGGTAGACTCCGATCATCTCAAATTATTATAGACAATCGGTTTGTGGCAAAAATTACTGGATATGGGTTGCCTTTAATCTATCAAAATCAAGTTTCGTTAAATCGTTTGTCAAAAATGCCTAAAAAGTATATTAAAAATTTGTTGTGGGTGGCACCGGAGTTTCTAATGACCGACAATAATATTAACAAAAATAAAGCTTTGAGAAACTCAGATAGAAATCATTTGCCTTATGACAACAAAGACCAGCGCAATAATTTCCTAATAAAAATAAAGGCCTTGTCTAAAAACTTACAAAAAGATTTGACTAAAATGTACAAAACGAAAAATAGTAACTTAACCCAGGCTTTAGAAAACTTTATGAAACCTAAGGTTGTCATTACACCACCTAATACTGGTGATGATGCCAATCGGGAATGCACTGTTGACAATAAAAAGAATGAGATGTCTAATTGGAAACTAACTTCGATGGGGCTTGCCCAATGGGATAAAAGGCCTTATAGCCAAAAAGGAGATGTCTATAGTTTTGCAATTATCGTGTCTGAAATAATAACTAGAAAACCTCCCTTTTATTATAATCTTCTAAGACTTCGTAACAAAGAAAATGAGAATGAAAAGGTCAACTTGAATAGTAAAACAATCCAATCCCCACGGTTTCCTCTATTTGAAGTAAAAATTCGAAACGAGAGTTCTTACGATCACGCGGAAACAAATAAATGCAAAGTTAGGAGAAAGAATTTGTTATATGGCGACAAATTTCACCTCAATCATACGACGAATAGAGATGCCACATCTTGTTCAGCTAATGATGGGATTAATTCCAGTCAAGATTATCACAGTGAAACACTACAACTTATCAAACTTATTCAAAACGAAGACAAACCGATATGTAGACCACTGATCACATATCTTGATAATCCTGATGAAAATGAAACCCATAATATTAGCTCTATAAAATCAACCTCGGATAATAACTATACGATCACCAAAGACATCAATAATATAAACTATACAATCACAGATATAAGAAGTTCCATCTATTTGTCGCGCAAAAAAGGGCGATCCGATTTGTCGAGTTATGTAAGCCAAATAACGTGTCCAGATAAATATGTGATAAAACTCATGGATCTAATGAAGAATTCTTGGAACGAGGATCCTAAATCAAGGCCATCCTTTTCGCAAATCTCCATTGAGTTTAAAGCTATATCTAAGCATATAGATTTTAATAACATAATAGAGTCACTGCTAGAAAGAATGGAACAATATGCTAATAATTTGGAGAAAATGGTAGCAGAAAAAACTCAAGCATTTTTGGAGGAAAAGGAAAAGGGTGACGAAATATTATGTCAAGTATTACCAAGGTTGAAAATTTTGATTATATTTTATTTGCATACCGGATGATCAAAAAAAGCTTCGTGTTTTGAAATCGTTTTAACTCTAAAAGACGTCACTTGTTTTTTAAAATGAAATTTCATATTTTATTAAAAGGGTGTATTCCTTAAATTTTTCATAATTTGATCAATTCGTTGTATTTTTAAATTGAAGTCAATTATACTAAAATTTGACAAAAAATATCTATAGCTTCTCAATTTTAACTTCATGAAAAACCGATAAAGTTTACAATTTTAGCAAATTAAGGGCAAGTCTTTATGAAAATTTAGAACTTAAATGATTTATGGCGCGCCTTTATTTTGAAAGATCTGATTTCGTTAGAATCTTATTCTAACATGTATAGAGTATTCAAAAAAAAATTCAAAAGTTTATTGAAAAATTGTCTAAAATTAACAGGGTAGGTCCCTATATAGATGCTGGAATACTATTCCGCCAATGAAATTAAAAAATAGTGGTATCACTATAATATAATTTATTTAGGGTTAAAATTTTGCAAACCAAATTTGTTATGATTATTAATTTTAAATATTTAGGGCTATTGCCGAAAGACTAAAACGTGGTTTGAAAATTCAACCGGAAGAATTTGAAAGTGTAACCATATATTTTAATGATATCGTTAATTTTACTCAACTTTCAGCTACCAGTACGGCTATGGAGGTATTATACCCTAATAATTTAAATTCTATATTTATTTATTTCAGATTGTAGACTTTTTAAATGACTTATATAGTTGTTTCGACAATATAGTTGAAAAATTTGATGCCTACAAAGTATTGAAAAAATATCTTAATTTAATTTATTCATATCCACAAAAACATTGATATTTAATTTTAAGCATTTTTTTATTTTATTAATTTAACATTAACATTAACATAATGTATAATTTGTGCCATCCTTTTTTATTATTCTTAATTATAAATAATACATTAACTTCAAGGTTGAAACAATTGGTGATGCATATATGGTAGCATCAGGGTTACCATTGCGGAACGGAAATAAACATGTACAGGAGATCGCGAGATTATCATTACTTATTTTAAAAACTGTCAAAACGTTTAAAATTAGGCACCGTCAGAATGATTTACTTAAAATTAGAATAGGATTCCACTCAGGTTGGTTGGTGTATGTTAAATATTTTTAGCTCACATTTATTTTTATTGAATTTTGAAAAAATAAAAATAATTATTTATAATGCTATTCGTATATATCGATGATAAAGTATATATAAATTAAAACTGATTGAGTTATATGATAAATCTAGATAATGGCATTGCAAATTAAGCATAACTAAGATTATAGTGAATTTCATGACATCGGAGCAAAAAACATCATTTTACGAACTGACCCCCCTAATATTTATAAAAATCTTAAAGTTTGACTCTCGCGTCTACCCAAATTGGCTTCAACATATGTTTTAAATATCAACCCTAGTGCATATCTATTTTTTTAAGCATATACTTCATATTTGAGTTTTGGTGGTATCAGAGAGATCAGGTAATTTTCTAATAAAAATTTTATACTACACATTAAGCTCCTCTTTCCCTTCAAGCGAAATTAAATAGATACAGATACTTATGATTTTTCCACATCTTTCAGTTTTACCAGGGGAACTCTTCCTAATCAAATTTGTTTTATCTAAAAAAAATTGACCTTAAAAATACGGCTATCGGCTTGGATAACGGTAACACAGGTTATAACCTGTGAAAGAAACAAATTCAGCTATTAAAAAATATGTTTATATATAATAGTTTTATCAACGAGCCGTATATAAAACAAATCATATTTTGGCGTATATTTTTCTCAAAAATCAAGTAAATAATGATTGCTATTTTGTGAATTAATATAAGGGAGACCGGAGATAAGTAGCCATACTTTTACTCATGATACATTAAAGATAAAAATGTTACCTTTAATGAAAAAAATTTAATATTAATGTGAAACACAGACATTAATCTATAAAATAAAATCTCTATCTATAATATATTTTAGATTGGATTATTTAAGGTGAAACTGAAAGTCTTTAATTACATATACCCTATGTTGACTGGCCATACTATTTATCACCAATATGAAATATTTGAAAGATATGTAATATATCGAATAATTTATAGTCTTTAAACAAAACTGAACCCGAACTGATATTTGTTTCGGTTCAATTCCCTGTTTTTAATTAATATTGTTTGATATTTATAAATTTTCGGCTTATTTAAAAACGACTGTGAATCCATAGCCCTTTACCCCCATCTCTTATCTATCTTGGTAAAATTCCAAGCTAGATTCTGACGCATTCAATAAAATGTTTTCAACATATACAATTTGAGACAAAATAATTCAATAAATAAGAAGTAAATTTAGATATAATAACCAATAAACATTGGAATATAACTTTGCATTGTTAGCTTTTTAATTAGCCCTTTACCCCCATCTCTTATCTATCTTGGTAAAATTCCAAGCTAGATTCTGACGCATTCAATAAAATGTTTTCAACATATACAATTTGAGACAAAATAATTCAATAAATAAGAAGTAAATTTAGATATAATAACCAATAAACATTGGAATATAACTTTGCATTGTTAGCTTTTTAATACTGGGGAATCGCAATTATTTTATTTTTCTTTCAAAATTAAAATAACTTCAAAAAAGGGAATTATCGATTAATATCATGAAATATAATTTAATAAATTTCAGAAAATTTAATATGGCTTATCAAAATTATATGGTTTGAGCTCCCTAATGACGATATTTAAATATTTAATTTCGAGATAGTATAGAATATTTTACTGAGTGTGAACTGTAAAGGTTATGTATTGATCAGTGGCGTCGCTAGGGGGGGGGGGCATAGCCCAAGCGAAAAAAATTTTTTTTAATGGCTCCTTAATATCCCCTTAAACTAAATATAAATTATTTTGATTGCCCACTGAATGATTTCTTTTATAATTCTATTAAGTAATATATAGATATAATTTTATTATTTAGAAATTAATAAGACTATTTAAATTTATATTAAATGAATATATTTCAATTATTAGATTAGATTAATACATATAAATTATATTTTCACTATGTCAGCTTGCAATCAAATTCTGTATTAAAAATATAATATCAATAACTCACTAAATATTAATTAAGCTTCAACAGTTGAAGTTATTGATTTTTATTATTTAATCCTAATTAAATAAATATAATCATATATTATTTGAAAATTAACAAATTTAATATTGTAATTAGCTGAGTTCAAAATGACTAATCAACTGTAAATTTATTTTGAAATTTTATTATCATACCTTAAAAGTGTTTTCAAGGTCCAAATAAGTATAAGAGATTTCTTTATAAAAAGTAGTAGACATATAGTTTAATATCCTCTACTATATACAGTTGTTTATAAAATATTAGATATAATGCCACTTTTATAGACGTATTTGACAGTTATATAATATATTACAGTTAATATTATAATAACTAATAAATGGTTTTGATAATAAATATAATAACAAATTGCATTCGTATTTAACGCCATCTATTTAGTTATAAATAATTTTTAAAATTAAACATTTTATTATTCATCCTGCAATAGATCTAATAAATTTGATATCTTTTCTTCTCTTTTTTTACGTGTTTTTAGGAAAGCTATTTTTTCTTTTTCGAAAAACAGTCTTGAGTTAAATTTTTAATACAAGTATATTTTTGATATTATTACAAACTACTATTATTTTAAGATATAATATACCAAGGTGGTGTGACAATATATAAAATCTTAATTGTTTCATCATATCATTCTGGTCCTTATTTTATAGTTAAAAAATGTTTCATTTCTAATATGGCATTGCCGTGTAAATAACTCCAGGCTTCAATATATTTGCATAATTATTTCTTCCAAAGATTTTTAGTGTTTTTATTTTATCAATTTATCCAACATAATAAATTCTGATATTAGTTTACATCGTGAGTGTCATGGCTATTACTGCAAATTAACCAGCATCTATAATTTGTGTTGCTTATAATTTCAGATTATTACTATAACGGCTGAGAGCATATAATTGCATATTTTAGATAATAATGGTCAACTGTATAGTCGTTTATATATCATTTAAAATGGAAGATAATCTTTTAGAAATTTAATATCTCACAATAATTTTCTCGATTACTTATCTCCATAATGTCATCTAAGAGGAAGCTCTAACCACCATATAGTTTTATTTGGATTGTTCGTTTATATTCTCTCCTACAAAAATTGTTGATTTGGTTTAGGCCTATAAATTTTTTCTTATTAGTCCATTCTATAAAACACTGTCTAAAATGGTTACAGAGAATTATACTAGTTTGATAACCTTTTATCAATGTAAGTTGCTAAGAATTATATTATTGCATTATGTGATTTTTTATATGCATAAATGACAAAACATGAAAATCAGAATAATTGTTCAGAGTTAACAAATTTAAAAAAAGTATAATATATTAATATAAAACCCGGCCGAAGGCCAGGCAAAAGCGGCCGAAGGCCCCCATAAAAATTTTTTAGTTGAGCCCCCTGAGATTGTGAAGGCTAGCGACGCCCTTGGTATTGATTTAATGTAATTTGATATTCTAATCTAATCTTACCTCATATATTTTTAAAGGACCGTGCGCCGCTGGTATAGTAGGTCTTAAAATGCCTAGATATTGTTTATTCGGTGACACAGTTAATACAGCATCGAGGATGGAATCGAACGGTGAAGGTTAGCTATATTTTAAAATATTAACATCTAAACCATATCTATATTTTTTTCAGCTTTAAAAATACATATTAGTGAAAGTTCAAAATGCTTACTTGATAATTTCCAAAATTTTATCATGGAGGAAAGAGGAATGGTTGAGATCAAAGTGAAATTTAAATTACTTTTTAAAAGTATTTTTATTTTTTTAAATGATGGAATAGGGCAAAGGACCAATGAAAACGTATTGGCTGCTATCAGAAATAGAATCATAAATATAATTTGTGTAAATAACAAGTTTGGAAGTGAATTGCTTATCGAGATAACAAAAATATATTATTTAAACATCATTTTTTATGTTCCTGTCAGATTTTATTTTTAAACTGTGAATAAAATGTTAATAGGTTATTAAACAAAATATAGTCGTATAAAAGTCTACAACGGGCGAATTTTAGTCGAAATTATTTAAGAGTTGTGCAGATGGATGGGTTAATATATTTTAAAAACGACGGAGATGGACTTTTATTTATTATAAATTTATTTATTATTTGATATTTCATGTTTTATAAGTTTAAGTAAATAATGAAGGTCAAGGACTGATTTACTCGATTCCACAATCAGAATTTTTTATTAGAAAAAGTGGCCGACGGAATTTAGATCGAGATTAAAAAATCAAATGGAGTTAATTTATCGGTTAAAAATATATTAAATAAAATAAACAAAAATCAAATCATTCAAATAATTTTTAAACATTTGGGAGGTGGGTTAAGCAATATTTTTTAATAACGAGAGTAAATTTTTCTAAAAATACTCATTTAATTTTCTAAAAAGATTGCACATATCGATATAAAAAATGAGGTAAATATTATATATAAATATGATTTATTATACGCTTATCCTATTCAATTGCACCCACAATATTAGCTTCAATTTCTTTCCTCAATATTCAAAATCTTTGGCTCATTATGCTAAATGCTCTTTCAACACATTGCTTCATTTCTTTAAAATATCAATTATATGTTATTTTATCCTCATTATTAGAAAATCTAGATTTTTTTCTGTCAATTAATATACACTTCATATTTGAGGTCGAATCAACATTGGCTGCTAGTGCATAGTTATATAGGGGTAACGGTTATATGAAAATTATTTCTTTTACTTTAAGTTATAAAAAAACGTTTTACTTAGAGAAATTGAAAGTCAATTAATTATTAATATCAAACTTATTTTGTTTACAACATAATTTAAATTTTAATTGCCCCCTATTTTGTTCGATATTAACTAACCATACAAAATTCGATAATAAACAAGTAATTTCAATTTTGTTGAACAAAGGCTGTTGGTTTTCGATGTTATGATGGCTAAGAATATTGGCACCATAACGATAAAAAAACCATAAAAGGATGGGATTGTTTGTAGATAAGCACTTCTTTTACTTTCCCTTATTTTGTTCGTTGGATTAAATTTGACCATGCTTACTATTGCATAGTAACGTGCTATATTTTGATTTACATTTTATAATAAACGATAGGTCCAAATTGATATGTATCGAACACTGGTTGCATTTTTATTTTATATCTTCTACCTCATTAGTTTTTAAAGTGCCGTTATCACTGGACCACTTTAAAATAAAGGATATATTTATATTAATGTGTCGAACCCTTTGTGCATTTTTATTTTAGGACCTCTACCTCATCAGTTCTCAATGGTCAAAGCTACTCCTCCTAATCTTACCGAGAATTAGCCGGCGCACTAAATCTTATGACTACTCTCGTCCCCTCCACGTTCCGTACTCTAAATAATCCTGTGACCTCAAATATAGTATAAACAAAAATATAATAAATTACAAATAAAGCAGACGATGCACACGATAAAATTTATAATGTAAACAAAAAATGTATAATTTTGAAAATATTTAGCAATACTTCATTTTTTATTGACATCTTCTAACCTTATGAGCGAACGATATGTATGGCCATTAAATCGATGTTGTTAAAAATCTAAAATTTGAATGAATATTAAATATAATTGAGAAAAAATATAACTGAGATGGGAAAGTTACATTGTGGATGAACGGTAAAGCGTCTTTGTAACATATAATATTTATTTAACCCTTCAATACTCCATGGGGGTATATAAAACCCCAGGCATGATAGAAATGATATCGTATAAAAACGGTTAATTATTATGATTTGGATTCTTCAATAGCTTCATCAAATATATCTTAGAATCTATATTCCAAATTTCATATATTTCGGTTGAGTAGTTTTTAAGATATAAGCATTTTGTGACTGATTAGGGTTTGTGAGACCTCATCACTATAAATTCGTAATTTTTAAAAAATTATTATAATTATAAATATACACTACTATATTATAAAATTTATTAAAAAGTAATTTAAATATCTTATATTTTAAATGAGATATATGAAGAAGAAAACAGGAACATTTTTTCTGATGGAGTTATTTTATTTTTATTTTCACCAGCTGGCTCATTTCTCGAATTATTTTATCATTTATTATGATTTATGCAGATTTTGAAAGCAAATATAAAATTATTCAAGATGTAATATCATTTTACTTGAAATGATTATGACAATGTAATTACTGGGGAGGATGAAGATTTTAAATATGATAGTGATCATGATACACGATCTGAATTAGATGAAGAAGATATGTTAGTTGAAACATACAATAGATTTAAATATTATTTAGGTAAATATGTAAGCATTTATCATAGTATATTTCTCTTTAAAATTAGCTAAAAATAAGGTTACTAAATGGAAAAAGGATTTTCCTAATCAAAGAATAAGAACTCGTCGACAAAATTTAGTTATTCATCTGCCAGGAGCATAGGCGTAGCCAGGAATTACATAAGGGGGGGGGGGGGGAATTAAAAAATTACTGGGGGCTTCGCCCCCAGACCTTCTTTTGGGCGGGCCCAGTTAGAGAATATATTACAGTTAATAGTTTAACAAATTTTACTAATCAATGCTCTTGATATTAAATATAGCAACAATTTGAATTATTTAACGCCATCTATTTATTTTAAGTAAAAATGATATTTAAATTTAATCTTCATATTATTTATCCCACAATGTCTTTAAAAGATATTTTCTGATGTCCTTATCAATATTTTATAGTTTTCTGTAAAATATATAATTCGCTATATTGGTAAAAATTACTTGATTGTCATTTGATAATTAGATATACTGTAAATCTACGACATATAATATTCCACTGTTTGTATTGTGCTTTAATATTTTTTTAATTTATGATTTAATTTTATCAATAGTTTTATAATTATATTTTACTTTTATTAAGATAAATAAATTAAAATTACTCACTTTATAAAAAATTATATTTGATATATTATATTATTTAGTAATTTTATGGATCTATTATTAATAATTATAATACATTTCACTTCTGTCTTAAGACTTATCTTTGGCTTATATTCCATTTATTAAAAGACATTTTTGGTTCATTTTATATATTTATAAATATATTTTCCCAAAAATCTATAAATTATGATGAATAGTTTTATAAAATATCAACTTTTACATTCTTTCTTTTAAATTATTATTTAAGATATATGCATACATATTTGAGGGTCAGGGAGTGGGGGGAGGACTAAGGGGGATATCTTTTATTAGCTAAAAATGATATTTACCAAAAGTGATAAATTTCTGAAAAGGGGAATTTCCCCTTGCCCCTCCCCCCCCCTGGCTACGCCTATGGCCAGGAGTAAAAGAATATAGGAAAGGACACTCCAGAAAAAAAGTTTTGACGTGTTCATAACACCAAAAATGATTGAACAGTTTATATATCATACCAATGAAAAATTAAAATTATAAGTAAAAACTATACTGACAAAAATTTTCAACAAATATGGCATACAATTGAAACAACTTATTAACAGTTAATTAACTTTATTTCAGAAAATATTCGCAATCTTTCAATCAAACGCTGGTGTTAATTAAATTTTAATAATTGTAAAAGATTTTTAAATTTATAAGATCGTCGTTTCTAATTGAATCAGAATCATGCCCCATTTTAAATATTGTCATAATATGAAGAAAATAAAGTATAAAAAAGTTTTCTATATAACTAAAAGAATTGTATAATGTCCTAAAATAAGGTTTTTTAAAAATTGGATTAAAGAAATATAAATTAGTAAAAGCGAATGTTCGTTAATTAAAATATATATCTTATTTTAAATAAAAATTCATTATTTTTATTTGTTTATTTAGCCATACATAATAAAGCAATTATAATTTTTGAAATTAAAACATTTTTTTAAGCTGTGTAAAAAATCATAACAAAAAAAAGTGCCCGTTATACATTCGTTATTCTGGTCAAATAATATACAAGTATATTTAATTGAATCAATTCGAAAAGTAAACATTTAAGCTGCTAATAATTTGAAAGTAAATAATCTAGATAACGAATCTATTAAAGATATAAATAAATCGTGAAAACTTAGTGATTCTTAATATTTACAAAAAAAAATGATGATGCAAAATAAATATAACTCAATACAATAAATACCAAAGTAAATTAATTAAAATTTTTAAATTTGGTATTATTGATCTGTGCAACAATTGTCATTAAACGGTACTTTTCAGAGGCATCATTAAATTTTTTAAATTTGGAAAATTCCTATCCCATGTATTTAAATGAGAGAGGGCTTTGTTGATAACATCACACCAACCTTTCAATTGTTCTTTATTATCGGTAGATAAAAGATACCTTAAGGCATTAATAAAAATATAATATACATAGACATAAAATCCAAGATCGCATGGAAAAGGTGTTTTTAAAAAAAATTTGTTCTATGCAAAATATTTTTGATAACAGACAAAATCTATTATATTGATAAGACATTTTTGAGCTTTATATTGACAATAGCTGTTATAATTAAATCGTTAAATTGCATCGAATAATATATAATTGACTTATTTTTTTTATCAGTACCTAAGAGTGTTTTTTGCCAGATTTTCTCCCTCCATATCGGTCTCCAGCACGATACTTTTATCGCAAAATGATTCTTTGAAAACATTTAACTCCAGGGTGTTAGGCCTAGGGCATTTCTCTATAGAAACTGGTCTTACGCTATTTTCGACGCAAGCTGTTAAATCAATTTTGCCTATGGGAGACTAAATTTGCAAATAAAAGGTCAAAAAAAATAAAACATTGATGATAATGTATTTGTATTTATTCCAGTATTAAATCAGTGTTTTTGTTATATTATAGAATGTTAATCTTATATATTAGCAGCAGATTACACCTAATTTTTGCTAAGATTTAAAAAAAACGGTTAATGTAACTTATATATTTGACATTATTTTAATCCATTTTAAGTTATATTAATATTATTTTTAAAAATATACTTTATTATTCTCGTTCTCCGGGTATTTCCAGTAGGAAATATATTGTCCAGAGAGCACAAACCATCCTCTATTCCAGGATCCCAATCCATCAATCACCTCAAACATATTCTTAAATAAAAATAAAACATTCATTATTACAACCTAAAAAATATTAAATATAAGTTATAGGGTTTTACTTTTTAAGCCAATAAAATAAATATTTTAATATATTAAGAGCTAATATCAACATATTATTTCTACTTCGCGGTTTTCATTTTATTTTAATAGTTTACGATATACAAAAATGGTGTAATTTACGAGAAATCCTCTGTGGTATAGCTGTGTGTGACATTTTAAATTCATCAAAACGCTACCCTGTAAAGGTGATAATTGTGGTACCTTAAAATATAATGGTTAATTAATTTGCATCGCATTCTTTAACATGAATATCAATATTCTTAATAACTTTACATCGTTCATCCGTTTATTCCTTTTTATTTAATTGTGTTGAATCAATTTCATAAATTCATTTAACCCTTGAGTGATGGAAGATGGGGAGGGGGGGGGGGTATATCAACATCTTTAGTGACCTTCTATTCTATGCTAAATATTTTGTACAAATTTCATAGTGACTTAATTAACATTATTTATTTATTTTTGATCAACTCAAGGGTTAAAAAAAGGAAATAATCTTAGGAAGGATTAAATTGAAAATAAATAAAACTTCATTGCTAAAAAAACCCTTTTAAGGCTAAAATTCCGGTTCCTATTATAATAGTCCCTTTTAGTTATGGTGGTGAACCCGCTCAACACAAATATCCCTGCATCAGAATAATTTGTATTTTCATCTTCCGAAATGTCCTTATTGCAAAAATTGGAGTTAGTATCCTTATCTTTGTTCACAAGAATGTTAGAAGAATTAGAATTATTGTAGAATTTTTTTTTGCTGGGAGTCAGTTTCTTCAGTAAGGTAGAAGGGCTATTTGAAAAATGAGCGCTTGATAATGGAGAGTTATAATTTTGATGAGGGCTATTAACAAGTTTATCGCTTGATTTAACGTACTTTAAAAATATATATAATGTAAATTGTAACAATAATTCAATAATTTTCGGCATATCCTGAGTGAGGCAGAAAATAAGTAGTCTTTTTTTAAGCAAAAGAATTACTCAAATGATATTCAAAATTAAAACACATTCAAAAGATATTAATTGTAATACTATTTAAAAGGTATCAATTCATATATATGAAAGGGAAACTTAAATAAAAAATATCATTCTTACCAATGTATAGACCTCGAACTCTATCTTCCAGTCACCCTTCATTCCATGTATATTAATGCAATTATTGATATTAACGGATTTCGGCATTTGAAGAGTAGTATTAGCGTTGGCGTTAAAATTATTGTTTGACCTGGAGGCAAAATTTTGCATTTTACCACCAGTGTTCCGTGTGTCAAACGAATTTGGAGCAAAGGGAGTTAATTGAGTGAAAACCAAATGGGGGCCATATTTAAAAAGGCATAAAAAATAGTAGTCCAAATACTTGTGAGCGAAAGGTTTGCCTGAAAAATAAATAAACAACGCGAATAGTATGATGGTAAAAATAGAATGCTCGTAAAATTTAGATAAAGCTACTGAATTTCAGAATATCATATTTACAGTAAAACTTGGTCTAATTTAAGATCTTGATAATTAGGATACTAAAACGACAAATAAATTTGCCTCATGGAACTTCCAATTAATTTTTAAAAAGTGAATTCTTTGATAAATCCAGCACCATCCTATTTTGAATTGAAATGTAGGTGAAATATTATTTGAATTTCAAAAGTATCAAAAAAAAGACAACAATGAACATTTAATTTGGGCAAAAATTCTGGTCTCAAAGAGCGCCTAGAATAAACATGTTATGCCTTATTATAAATATTCAGTAAATTATGGCACTAGCAATTAAACTATCTCCATTTTCTTGCATACAGTCAAAATGAAATCTGGCGTGAACGAGAATTGATAAATATAAATTTTTCCCATAAACTAAAGAGAAAAAAATTATTAATAAAAGATTTACTTAAAAAATCGGGCTTGAGTATCAATTTGATATTGGTAATGTTAAGAAATCCCTCCGAATCATTGTTTGAGGGCTCGGCAGATATCATGTAGGGAGAATATTCAATGTGGTTAGTTTCTTTGGCTAATTTCGTCAATATTTGTTTTTCTTCTTGTTTCAGCCGCCCTATTTCGGAGAGCAACAATTGTCGTTTTTGTCCTTTGTTTTAAAATTTTTTTTAATTTGTTATATAATAGTTATTCATCATTGTAATTAATGCTATAATAGAGGAAAACAACATCGATTCGATGATCCATAATTAATTTAGAAATGAGTGATATCAATAGCTTTAATCACTTAAGGCAATCTTAAAAGTCATTTTTTAAAAAATTTTAGGTTAGCTTAAAAATTCATTTAATACAAATATAAAATATTTTAAGAGTGGTAAAAATTAAAATGCTTTTCTGAATATGCATCCCTCCCCAAAGACACTTAGAAAATAATTTGCTAAAAAAAACTTTGATAACCAATATAGAATAACGCCAAATCTTAAACAAATATATATATAATGATCAATTCTATATAATTTTGGAAAAAAAAATTCCAGTGTTTAATTGTGAGACAACGTCACGGATTATACAATTTTGCAAATATTTTTCCTAAATTTTTTAAAGTGTTATAAATCATTCATAAATAACTTGAAAATAATCATAATATAATACAACCAAAATTTTTTTTATATAAATTTAGTTTTAAAACAAAATCTCAATAATTGTTCTTAACTCTAGAGATCATCCTGAAGCTGTCCAGCAAGATTCTTTTATTTAGACAAATTCAGGTAAGATCCGAACAGAAAATTCTGGGCCAGGTCTAGTTATCTCTAATAAAGTTTCATCAATTTTCAAAAGGCATTTTTAAATTTTCAAAAAAATATCAAGATTTATACATAAAATATATCTATATACTAGCTATGAAATTCAACTTTTCGGCCTCGATTCTTTCTTGGGAGACGTTCGACATATTCTTTTTGTCGTTTCTGAACAACAATAAGGCCTGGCTTATTTGAGTTATGATGGTTTGTTGGTACTCAACTTGATTATTCAGTTCCTAAAAAAATTTTAATGTTTATTTTATTTTAGTGTAAATTTTTTTTTAGTAAATTTAACCATTTTTATGCCAAATATTAAAGGAATCATTCATATTTTATTCTGATTTAAAATTGACTATATCCATTGATATTATATGCCTCTGCGGCTAAAAATAATTATGATTTTTATATAAATCCAATACATTTGATCTGAAAAAGAATAAAATATAAACGGTATTTTAATTTATTCCTTTAAAACTTTAATTCGCTCCGAATATGTCTTGTGTCTGATCACCTTCTCAGAGCTGCTAAATTTATCCAAGTTTTCGCGATTAAATGCGATAACAGGAGAAAGCGAAGATTTATTGACGGAATTATCATTACTAGAAGACGACAGAAGTTTGGTGTAAGATTGTGGCATTTCATTGCAATTGAAATTTTGATGGTCGTAGGTTATAATTTTATTGATAACAGCGGGCTTGTTATTCGCATTATTGATTTTATTTGTGGGGTTTGATGGTAAGATCGTGAGCTCAGAAGGTAGCTTTTGAGGGGTCTTCGACTATTTATTTTAAATTTTATAAAATGAAATAAATATGGTGAAAAAATTTGGATTTTAAATATAAACATATATGTATATACTATATACATTTTGTAAAGATCGTAATAATAGTTGATTTTTTAAAATTATTAAGGGATAGGCTAAAAAAAATTATAAAATGACTGATAATGTTATTCAAAGTAACTTTTCCTTTTAATAATGTTGTCGAGCATTTAAAGGTTGTATATTTTCAGTTCTTTTAAGAAAACATTATTAAGCATGTTATAATTGTTACACAAAATTCAAATGGTTTTTTGTTAAAATTTTAAAGCATTAATAATCAAAAAATTATATTAAGTATAAAGTATGTACCATAAAGGAATTATTTAATTTTCAAAACAATATTTTTCTTGGAAAAAAGAAGAATAAGAAGAGTAAGTAAAAAGTATGGAACATATTAATTACGAACATCGTTAAACAAGCAATTGTCAGAGTTTGAAGGGGAACTAAATTCTTCGGTGATTTTGTCAAAATCGCTCAATCTGAGACTCAGATTAAGTTCATTATTGACCATTATAGATAGATCGTGGTTCTGTAAAACGTCCTCCTTGTGATCCAGTTTATAATTATCATATGCGAATATTTGTTGGTGAACAGGGAGAGATGAGGCTTGTGTTATTTTAATGTGATGTTGTTCCTGTTGCAAATAAAACAACTTTTATATATGTATGTACTGCTTAGCGCTGGTACTTATATTAGTTCTATTGAATTAGAATTAAATCAAGCTTCGTCATGCAAAATTAAAAAAAGGTACAACCACTACCCGATTTTTCTTATATAATGATTATAGAAACTTTACTATAAATATTTTGCTAAAACCCCCAAGTTTTAACCTATATATCTTCTTGAAGATATATATAAAAATTTTAAATAAATATATAACTTCACAAACATTGTTATCTTCATTTTTTTCGGGTACTCCCCTGTTCTCATCCTCTTTAATTTTCGCTAAATTTATTTTTATATATTATTTAAATATAATACAAATACTATAAATAAACAATAAGGATGTGCCAATAAAATATAAGTCAAATTGGAGCCGATATCTACTGTTTATAAAATCTGATTGAACCTATATTTTCAAAAAAAAATATTCGAACTACTGTTATCATTGTTTTATGATTGTATATATAATTATATATTTTTCATTTTATAGTATCGGTTTAAAAATTTGTGAATCGGCACAACCCTTAATAACTACTTAATTAATCAGTTATCATTAGAATGGAATGGGGTCAACATAAAATAATAATTTAGAAATTGCAATAATTTTTAGCTATTAAAGTTGAAAAAATAACAAAATTGCTCACTGAAATAATACCGAATATATTCTAAGTTTTGGTATAAAATGTATTTACCATTTTCCCGCTCCCTATCATTTTCAGGGTTGCAATCCTGTGTTTGAATTTTTTTGCGTGGAATAGGTCTAGCGATGATCTTGTTATCGGAAATATTCGGGTTTTTTGTCGTATCCTTGTCGGTAGAATGAGATGAATTTGTAACCATCTCCCATCTGTTCAACAAAGCGCTCATTTCGATTTTCCTGGATAAGTTGTATTTTTTGACCTTGTTATCACCCTTTAAAGAAAATCAATTTTAAAAATTTATGCGAAATTTTACAATTTTTTTTTATTTTATGAGGAGGCTGGTTCTCGTCACTTCTAGTACATTCCAGAACACCCTTAAATATGCAGGAGTAAAACTTTTTATCCTAGGTAAGACGGTAACTCTGGGAGATGTGCATTTAGGGGCCAGCCCTCAAAAAATTTTATGGCTCCCTAAACAAACAATTTTGTAAACTTGTTTTTTTTGCCGAATATTGCTAAACGAGTTTGATAACATTTATCATTTTTTAAATAAAAATTATATACTATGGATAAAATGTATTTTTTATTTTTCGAGGTTTCGGTAATGTTAGTTTGTGAACTATCAATAAGTTTACTTAAAAAAAATATAAACTTTTCCGAAAAATGATTTATTTACAAACTAATATTTTTGCATGCATAATGAAGCCTTGCATGGACATGGCAATATTGTTTAAAATAATCGAGCCTAAAGGACTCAGGTATAAATTTTTTTAAATATTCAGGCTTGAGGGGCTCAGATAAAAAAATTTTTAATTATTCAGGTCAGACGAATTGGAACTTTTTAAAAAAATTGTGTAGTTTATAAAAACAAAAATTTCAATTTTAGACATTTTTTTGATTAGTCTCCTAAAATATTTTGGCGATTTTTCATAATATTATTTGTGAAGTAAATTTTAATTTTTTTTAACACTTTCATTTTTTAAAATACTTTTTCAGGGGCCATCTGACGATTAAAATAAAAATAAAAATTTTTAATTATTGGAAATTTTTATTCATTGGTGATTTTTCATTTTTACACAACCTCACTCTTTTTATTAATTAATATTATTTTAGTAGAAAGTATAAATATTATCATTTCTTTAAAATTCATCAAAACTCTTTTATAATCAAATTATATTACAAAATTATAATTCTAAAATTTATAAAAAGTATACAAAATATATCTTTAAAGCTATTATAATATGCTAATTTATTATATTTGAATATAGTGTTGTTAAATGGCTCGATTAGAGCCGATTTTTAAAAACGGCTAAGTCTATATTTTAGCCAGAAAAATATTGCCTAAGTTTCTAGATTTCGTTATGTCCAAACCTTTGTGTCATCTATGAGCAAAATTTTTAGGCTTGCTTAATATTTTTCTGAATAAAACATTGAGTTAGGCGTTTTTAAAATATTTGAATACATCAAAAAAGAGTTGGGTGTATTTGGATATAATAATTTTTAATTTTGGACAGATTCTGACATCTTTAAAAAATGTGAGCCAGACTTTGCAAAATTGCAAAAAACAGGTCCAGCAGGGCAATACATAAACTTAATGAGAAAAAAATATCAAAGAATTTTATCGACATATGCAATTTTAAAATGTATCCCACCCCTATCCCCAGTGAAAGGGTACTAGCTATGCTAGAAATGAAAAGATAGGGTTTTATTAAATTATAAATTACATTATTATACACTATGTAGATATCGTTTATCATATACTTTGTCCATATTATCGACTGGTATTTCCTTTCTAAGCGAGGATACGATCTTGCAATTTGACAGACTCTCGATATCTTTTTGTCTCTCTTCTTTGATAGTTTGGAACATGAGTTCAGAGTAGGCTTGATAATCACCCATCAGTTGATCCTGTTGGCTAACTTCATCATGATTTGAGTTATCCGATTCATCTGTCAAAACATTGAAAATGACCATAGTTCCTTCCCTACATAGCTTTAGATCCAGATTTATGTCTTTAACTGTCTCAGTCTCTTTATCTTTGTTATCAGGATGGTGATTGTTTTTTTTTAATATGGTAGATTTTCTGTGAATTTCTGTGTTAATATAATCACACTCTGATAGTTCGGTGTCATCAATGCAAATTTTGTGAATGCTTTAGTATAATTATTTTTTAGATTAATTGATAAAGATGATATAACATATTAAAATAGCCTTTTTTTTAGCCAAATAATATAAAATTGATTTTTTAAATTTATATTGATAGCAATTAAGGTTGTACATTTAAAAAAAATTAAAAGTTTTTTTTTATTGCTATAATTGTAAGGCAAATAAAAATAATATTTTTATTAATTTTGAATATTCAAAAAAGAAACAAAAACATTCAAACACCAAATAAAATAATTCACTAAAACCTAGTAGTAAAGGTAAAATCTATGAAATTAATTAATTACAGCATTCATTTTATGGGGGGGGGGGGATAACTTCTATTTATCTTAGCTTTTTTGTAAGTAAAAATATAGTAAATTAAAAGTTTAAAAAAAGTCTCAGCTCCAATTTTATTTTTGGTTTTAGTTTTCCAAGCTCTAGTTATGTATATAATACTTTTTAAATCAAAAATTTTATATTTATTAATAGGAAATATAATTGGTTTCTATGCAATTTGAGTTGGTTATTGTCTACATTTATGCAATTAGTAATGAAAAAGTAATTTTTATAGGTTATAAAATTTATAATAACCATTTGTTGTCCTTTTTGTTCATGTAATATTTAATAGGTTCTTGGGTATTTTCAGGTAATTGACCTTTAAAAATATCAGCTTCATTTTTATTTTTTTTTCCAATATAATTATTTTCTTTCAAATACATGTCTAATTCTGTATATCCATTTGTCATATAATTTTTAAAATAATCATGAGTAATATTGTCAGATATTTTTAATTTCTCCTTATTTTGCTTTCTATTTTTTGAATTTACAATGTTTTTATTATCTCTTAACAAGTTATCTGGTGAAAAGTATTCTGGACCTTTTTTCAATGGGGTTTCATTTCCAGAAAAATATTCTGGAGTATCTATATATTGATTAAGATTTTGTGATTTATTTGTATGATCAATTCTTTATCATAATAAACTTTAATATAATATAATTTTATATTAACAGGGTTATTTTAAAACTTTTTGCAGCCCAGGGTGAACATAAATTTGATAGCTTTTTAAAAACCCACAATTTATTTAAACTTTAAAAATCATAATACTAAAAACTAATGTCATTTTTTGAATTGGATTTACAAATAAGCAGTTTAAAATATAAATTAAGTAATATTTATGCAATATATCAAAGTAAAATATAAATATTTTTAATAAATCATTCAATTGAATAATATTAAAT